AATGGTGCCTGAAATGGAATAGAATCTAGCTCACTCACCAGTATCTGTATTTGTTCTGCAATACTAACACGGGCAAAAATAACGAAAACGTAGTTTAGCCAGAAAAAAGTGAGCAGAAATAAAACAAATATGCAGAGAAGGCAGATCATTTTGACTAAGTGTACCATTTTTACAAAAACTTTTTTTTTAGAAATTTGAACTTTAAGAAAGGTTTCTCAGAGAACCCATAAATATCAGCTAAATTTCATCAAAAATCCTTGCTTCTCTTGACTATAGTGAAAGCAAACTTATTACAATAATGCATTTCAAATCACAGTCACTGAGCATCACCAATACCCGCTGCTGAGACAGAAGCAAAGGACACCTGAGAAATGCTACATACATCAAGAATGTATGTCACCATTTAAAAAAAAAATTTATATTAAGCTTTCACTCTCTGATTTTATGGACAGAAGGACAACTTTGAAAACCTGAGCACTTTAGATTTGACAGAGATGCAAATGATTGTGTGTATAACCCTAAACTACTGACCATTTATAAAAAGGTACTGTAATAAACTATATACATTTCATATGGTCAACCTATATCCTACCTTTACACAAATATTTTGTATAGCTATTCCTTTTTGCAGTAGTACCAGTTGCTCTTTATTTTTTTGCATAAGTGTAGATTTTCAGAAATTGCTGATTACTGAAAAATGCATTTGAATTACATAATTAGAGGAAATAGGGCAAAATACAAAATTCCAATGACTACCTCACTGCACCACTTAGGCTCTTAAAATGAAGATTTTGAAATATTATTGTGCAACAGTTCCAGAAATTCAAGTAGCTTGCTGCCTCTGAAGTTTCAGATCCTGAGAATTGTCTGAACAATTCAATGAGAAATTACTCATATAGTTATTTCTGAATAAAAGGTAAAAACCAGATGTGAAGTTTTAATCCCATGGGATTTTTTTAAATACGAAACTTATGCTTCTAACATTCTATACTTTTGTCAAAACAAAGGTGGTTTATGTTGTAATTAAAAACAGCTAAACATAATCACATCAAATCACATCTCAAAGGGCACAAAGCATCAATTATTTTTGATATCCCAACGTTGGTTGTTAATTTTCCCACCCTTCTCATACTTTGACTTTCATTGTGCCCTGGTTTCCCAAAACAAGTTCAGATAGAAATCAGCTAGAAAAAGGAAATCTAAAAGAGAAAAATGGAACAGGTATTTAGAGACATATTAAAAATGCTGATTTTAAGAAATCAACTGTAGTAGCTCTGATTTCTACTGTAATAAAGAGCTTGAGAACTAACTTTAGATAGTTGCTTTTTTCTTATTTCACTGATATCCCTTCATTTTGAGATCCAAATAAGGCTTAAAAATGTTATCAAAATTATCAAAAAAAAAAAAACAAAAAAAACACACAAACTTTGCAAACCCATTTCTAACCAAAAGCAAACTGGAGCCTCCATATGGTATCTGAAGACACACTAGTAGATGCCAGTTTTTGCCTTGCCTTCTCCAAAGGAATCTTCCATGGAAAGAAGTATGCACATGCAAACCTAGAGAAGAACTGGAGCCTGTTCCCACAATAGATCCAATCATTATAGACCATTCAATCACAACTGTATTTCTACTGGGTAGGTTAACAAGAAATTGTAATTAAGTCAGTTCATTAAGAATAAGCATTTTATTTAGGTACATAAAGCAATATCCACAAGGCAATTTTATACTAAAAATATGCATCAACCACTGAAAAATTATGTACAAAATAAATTTAATGTACAAAATACCTTAGGAGTATACAGTCTGAATACCAGAAGTATTATGTCTATGTAGTTTAATATTAGCTTTTTATGTCCATATGCAAACACAGACACAAGTACTTTGCAATGTTAATATGTGAATTCCAAAACAAATAACACAATTACCCGTATTAAACAAAGATACACACTAGTTGCAAAAATGGGAAGGGGGAGGCGGTGAGGAGTTCTATACACAGATCAATAAAATAAGCTCACTCTGTTAAGCATAAAATAGACAGATTTAGTTAACAAGAATTCTAACATCCATTAGGCAGAAAGACTTCAGTGCAAAGGCCAAATACAGACTTCTTACACAAAATTGCCCTATATCATAATATCATGCAGTATTCTAAGACAATTAAACCTGTCACTAATGACACAAACCTGGTTCTCAGTAAGGAAATTAAGGAATAATTAAGGAAATTATTAAAATACCTTTTTAATTTAAAAAGCAAATATAGTAACACATTACCTTTTGTTTAGAAAAACAAAACTGTAAAATTTTCCAAGCATGGAAATAAATAATCTTTGCTGAAAATTAATTGGAACTCTGGTTTACCCACCAGTTAGGCACCTCTGCAGGTTCAGCCTGCAGGTTTGTACTAATTCAAGGCTCGATTCAGGATTGCAAACTGAAGAAAAATCCCTCCCCTTATACACTGAACATCATGTATTGCTTCTTCAAGATGACTAACAGCACCGAGACAAATGCAAATAAAGTTTTTATATATGAAAATCTAGCTACCTAACAAGATCCAAAGTTGTTTACTAAGATCCACAATAAACATATAATGCTGATGCCCCTTGGCTTTATCACTTGTTCGAACTTTAATCTGCATGGAACCTATGGCAAAACTGAGCTCCAAGTACTAGACATGGCCACCTACTACTTGTACATACTTTCCAGAGGAATCTGTAGGACATACATTTAGGTGTATGTCCACTTCAGACTCTAAAATTATTAAAAATGCTAAGAAGTTTTATGGAAAAAAGAGCAGCCAGGGGAATGAGAAAACACACAAAACCAAAGAGAAGTCCAATAAGAATAAGAGAAAAGATTTAGAGAGAAAAAATAAGCTATTCAATAAAAATTTAAAAACCATGCATGCATTAGAAATCTCTACCTACATTAATTAGGGCCTCAAGAGTATTTGGAACATAAGAAAGCAAAACCACCTAACAATATACCCGGCATGATGATGCCAAACTTTGCACTAATATTTTGCTTTCAAAAACTAGAATTTCTCTCTCCAAATAGGACACTTTGCCTCAGTGGGAAAAACAGACTTAGATTTTTCAGCAATGGGAAGGTAATAGCTGGACTAACTACAGAGAATGTAATATGAATGCTGAAAAGCATTTCATATGGTAGAAAAAGCAGAAATTGCTATTAAGACTAATTAATAAAACAACCAGTACACAATCAGTATCAGTCAGACTTATAAAGGAAGTATTCTGAGGAAATAAATCAATTATGCTCCTGCTCATGAATTTATCAGGTCATCATATGTACACTGGATTGTATTATTTACACTACAGTGCTTTAAGGCACTCAAAATAGGTAAGGATACAGATGACTAGATTAACATGTCAACTAGAACATAAACACTGCAGCACTGTCATCATGTAAAACTTTTATTAGTAAGGGTAAGAAACATTCATTTAATTCAAGAGGTCAGAGATCACACTGCTCACAGTCCTAAATGACAACATAATCAACTAGACAAACAAGCAAAATATACAGAACATGAAATTTATACCTGAGAGCACTGGAACATGTTTTATTTTTATTTAGAAACAAAACTGTAGTGCAACACGAAGTCAGGAATAGACCTGAAGCTTCTGTCTCCTTTTTGATGTAACAAGCCAAACAAAAATTAGATGAAAACTAGATGAAGATTTTCTTTATTGTTCCATACTAGCTGCCAGGCTTAGCATGAATAAGTGTATGACATTATACAAAGAAACGTATTTTTCTAGCTGCAGCAGTACCTTTATTGCACTTACTGCTGTTCAGGATCTAAAAATACTGACGTTGACACGGGAAATATATTAAAAGTAGTAAAGTGTACCAAAAGGAAAGCTGAAACATGCCTGCAGGTACTAATTTGACTAACAAGGGCATCAGAATCTGGTAATTATCAGCTAAAAAAAATAAGTCCAGAATGTCCTGATGCTGATCTTCCATCTAAAGATTCAAAGTAACAGCAACGGGTGCAAACAGTAGAAGAGAATATATTTCCATTACTAAAGGAAGCTTTCTTCAACACAAACACAAGGGAGACATAAACAGCACTTATGAATTGCCTGTTTGTTTTTTTTTTTTTTTTTTTTTCCATTGAGTAAGGACCCTCACACTAAATATGAAAAAACTTGTTATTTCAGTAGTTTTCTGAAAGACTTGAGAGGAAAAAAAAAAAAAGCAAAATCCTAGTGAAACTTCTCATTAAATACATACAACACATATATACCTACAAAACAGCTGTTTTAAAATTCTGACTATCATTATTTTGACAGCTTATTGGAGGACTGGGCACAAAATTTTAATTGCTTGCTCCTCTACAAATTTGGTCCTATCAAAAACTCTACATGTCCTACCACAACGAAAACTGTCAAAATCTGAGGTTAGTGACGCTTTTAAAAACCAAAGGTATTTCTGATGTAACACTGTTACTCTTATATCTACAGATAGAAGAGAACAATGACATTGACTGGAAATATCAACTACAAGACTGGTAGTTTAACAACATACCTTATCAGAAAATCTAACTTTAAGAACATCTAATAAAACAGTCATAATATAAAGTGAGGTTCCCGCTCCCCAAACTATACACCATATAGCAAAGCTAAATTACTTTACAAAATAATAACTCAGTGTTCTTCCCAATGAACTGCATCTTCAACACCTAGAGAGATGTTTCAAGAAGTCTAATGGTGTTTACAGAATACATACCTACACACTGAAGTTCAAGACTTTACAAAAGTTAAAAATGTTAAACTGTCAGAGAAAATTATGCAAAAATAAAGATATTCAGTGTAACAGCTTAAAAATTCACATACAAATTTCCTACCAAACAGTGAGAACAGTAATATGTCAATTTAAAAAACTGTAAAAATCAATTCTGGATTATAAATAGGTCCTATAGAATTTATTTTTTTTTAATATACCAAGATAAAAACACTGATTTTTTTTTTTCACTACTGTCTTGTAAAGGCTCTTTTTTGGTTAGCTTTCACAATATCATCAGGAGATGCTGACTTGAAGTCAAATGGTGTTATGGCTATTATAGGACCAGTTTCCTTGGGTTTTTCGTCTTGTACTTGTCTACTGTATAGGAAAGCTTTATGTATACCAATTGTGCGCCGCTTATAACCTTTTGGAGGATAACGGAGACACAAGGTTAAAGCAAAAGCTGAAGGTCTTGCACGCAGTGCCTTCATCCACGAAAGGGACAAATCCTGACTCTCAGAAGTAAGCCCTCTTTTGGGTTTTTTATTTGTTTTGGCAAAACCAGAACATTTTCCTTGTTTTTCTTTTAAAAGTTTAGTTTCGGGGCTTAAGATGTTTGGCTGTCCAACCACATTTTGTTCTGCAGGTAAGTCTGCATTTTTTACAAGGACACTTAAATCAATGGTGGTTTTCGAGGGCCTCAATCCAGTTACATTGAGCATGGGGAAGTCTGTCCTTTGTTGAGTTTTATCTATTTCAATAGTCTCTGCTATTAAATCCGAGAGTGATAAATTCTCAACCTCCTCTAGGGGAGAAACTTTAGAGAGGGCTAGAGAAGACAAAGATCCTGTTAGCTCTGGCATCCCGGCTGAAGTTTGCGGTTGACTTACTAGCTGTGATAATGGTGAGGCTCCCAATTTTGAATCAACAAGATTTGCTGTTGACTGGATATAAAGATCAGCTAAAGAGTAACAGTGGCTAGCACTGCTTTCCTGGTGCTCCTGAAGTAAGTTAGCCAATGATGTACTTCCAGACCTTAACACTGGCAAAGCAGCCATGTCTTCACTTTGCACAAGTGAAGAAAAATTTTCAAGAAGTTCATTGTTTCTATTTACAGCATGACAGACTTCATTATCAAGAGGCAATTTCCCTAAAGCACCTGTTAAACATGGAGGACTGCAAAAATTTGCATTACTATTATAATCAGAAGTATTTGAGGAAACAAGAGGAATGCTGTCTTCAGGATTCAGAGAATCATAAACCACATTCTGCATCAGCAAGGATTTCAAGTCCTGTGTTCCCTTGCATTCCAACTTCTTAAAGGAAGAATTTCCAGACAGGTTATTTCCTATGCTAAAGTAAACATTTCCAGTGCCAGGAATTGAACTTACTGCATTAGCACTTTCTGGTAGTTGATTGTCTGCCTGTTTATTCACAGGTTCACAAAATGATCCTTTACATAAATCATCACTGAAAGAAGATGACAGAACAAGTGAAGAGGATTTCAATCCTTTCCTTTCAGATGAAGGTATATTGGATTTTTCAGCATTAAGGAGCATTTTGTCATTTGTAATTAAAGAGTAACAAGATGAACCGCTTTTGGCTGTCCAGTTTCCAAACCCAGATTTGTTGGTGTTGTCAGCAACATTTTCTACTGCACAAGAGAAACTGTCTGTATCAATACACATTTCTGGACAACAAAGTAAGTCTCCTTACCTTACAATAGCCAATAATTTTCAGATGGAAGTGCAGGCACAACGAAACATCCATTTTTTTTTTCAAATTGACAGCAGCAACAAAAAAAATCAAGAAGAAACATGAAAAGGCATTTAATTACTAAGTGTTATCCAAATATATGCAATGTTCTACAATTAAATTACATGTTATCAACTGAAATACCTAGGAAACTTTAAGAATCAGTAAAGAATGCCAATAAAGTTTACAAAGATTTTAGCATAAATCAAAATAAGAAAGTTCCTGTATAGGTACTACCAAAAAAGGGAGGTATTGGGGATGGGAGATGTCAGTTCACCAAACAAATAATGGAAGTACATAAAACTTAAAGATGTTGTCCAGCTTTTAGGATATGTATTCATTCCACTAAGTCATACGTTAGAAATCAGAAATTTACTGTGAAATGCAGATAGTTGCAGTTTGAATTTAAGCTGACACCAAGGTTTTATTTTAACTTCTACCTCAACAAAAGCTACTGTTTCATTTAAATGTTTTAGAACACAGAAACAGAAGAGTAAGTTGCTCTTTTTCAATTTTTCAATAAATGACTAATGCAATAACAAGCATCTTCACTGCTTGCAAAGACAAAATTAAACTGCATATAGACGTGAATCATCTTGAACGTAAACAATTAAATAGAAGTATACCTTTTGTCGTCTTTCCTACAATCACAGCATCCTCATTCTTGGTCTTCACAATTTGCTTACTGCCTTGAGAAAGCACAAGATCCAAAGCCTTCTGTACATCAAATTTACTATCCAGTACTGCTTGCACCATTGTTTGCTCTGGTACAGACTCTGCCAAAACTTCTCTCATTTGATCAAGGCATGAATTAAGACGGGCTAAAAGAGACATATTACTGTTATAAGCTGCACAAAAAAAATGTCTTAAGTGGCCTAACCACTAGAACCACACATCTGATTAACAAAAACAGGAGAAAACATCATAGTAAGAGACAAAACATTTAGAAATTCATTTCAGTCTCACTTACTGCCATGATAAACTTTGCCCCCAAACCCTGCAGAATATTTGTCAAATTTCAGATATTGCTGTAAGGAACATCACTAACTACTACTTATTGGTCTATAAAGTCTCAATATTGAAATGTTTTGATGTTGTAAAATTAATTATCTTCACTGCAGAGAAGAAATACAAACAATAAGTTCAGCATGGAATCCCAAACAGCACATTTTAAGTGTTTACAGATGATAAAATTAACACCCAAAGTGAAACAGCATTTTTGGGGGCCTCAGGCGTTAAAAATCAAAAACTCTGGATCAACACACCAGGTTCGAAACTACCTGCAATCTTTACCTTTCCTAAAACTGTAATACATTTTTTGGTGATAAAATCAATTTTCTTCGGAGCACACTTCTGCAACTAGGATAAGCTTTATCTAAGATAAGTTTCTTAATTCTTGACTTGCCACACAACAAGAGACTGAAAATTCACCAAGTTGCCACTCACTGGAAGTACTGTGCTAAACACACATAGAAACACAAGAGAACAGAAAATCTTCCTGAATAATGCAGTTTCTGCCAGTTCAGATTTTAGAAAACAGGAACTGATTAACAAGACAATGACTACAGATTCTTTACTTGAACACCTCCTCAAAGATGGTGGTGCTTAAAGAACTTTGCTAAGGGAATTCAACACCACAGAATTACAACCTCCTCAAGGTTGCTTAAATCAGCACCCTCGATCCGTAATCCAAATAGCAAATCAACGTTCCCCAGACATTTGCTCTGCAAAACAAGTACTGGCAGAGCCTTACACAGCGTGCTGATTGGCTATTTTGTTATCCAACACTCAACTAGGACAAGCTTGCCAAACTCTTTGCAGACAGATTGACTGCAATCCATAATCTTGTATTAATGGCCATCACTGCGTACTATACCAAATATAGCAGGTCTTGTGGGACCATTGCTGTTGTCACAGTAGGAATGGTATTTTCTAGGTTTCTTTTCCATCATTTTTTAGTCCAGAATATTACTTTCCTTCTTGTTCCAATAGCAATCTTTAACAGATTGAGTCTGTCAAAAGCATTCTGAAAAGCCAGTGTACCATATTGTCTACATCACCTGTATTCACATATTGGCTGATTCTTTCAAATTGCCCTCTATAACATTGTTTCTTGCTGTAAAAATATGTATAATAAATCACAGTTTATTATATTTACCCATGTGTCTACGCATTAGCATAGCTTCTACCAATTTACTTGACACAGAACCTAGATTGTCTCTATTCTATTTTTTTTCAGAATTTTCTGCAACTTGTTTTAAATATCAAATTTCATTCATGCATTTTATTGTCTGTTCATTCACCAACACACTTTCCTGTGAGCTTATCAAAATTTTAAAAATAACCCTGATTATTTCCAAAACACTAAAAACTAAGTTTAATACTTAGAAAAGAGACTTGTGAATCTTTTTCACAAAGCATGTAATTAAGCTAACACGCAGCAAGTTTAAAAAACAAAGCAAGTATTTTTTCTCCCACCACTCAGCTCAGAACTCAGCTTGTAACATGGAATTTACTGCTGAAGGACTGAATGAAAGTCTAATGAAGTCAGAACAGGGTAAGAAAAGCTTGTAGAGGTATCTAAAGAGATTGGCTACTGTTTCAAGGAAATGTGTGACACTGAAAATCTCTGCTAGTTGCAGAATTCAATACAAGCAAAAGATCATTCTACAAATATTCTAATACTCTTCCCTAAGCATCCACCTGCTGAGTCAAGACCTTGAGCTACATGGATGCTTGGCCTGACCTAGTACAGCTGTTCTTATGTCTGAATTTCATATCAAATCTCATCATTTCTAGTAAGAAACTAAGAACATATTTCAATGTATGCAACCAAGTTACAAGCAGATACAAAAGGCAGTTACAAACTTGAAGAATCACCGCTGAAGCTGTACTCATTAAGGGTGTTGCTCTACAACAAGATTACAAAATTGTAAGCAGCGTCAGTCAAGTAACAAATGTTACTATTTTAGTAAGCCCTTAATTCATAAAAAGAGATTGTTCTGATAATTCTTTGTTTTCTATAATTACCTCTATCAGCTTCAGTCAGCTGATGACTGGGCGTAAAATAATCAGCAGTATCATCTGTACCTTCATAGCCATATTCTTCTTCTAATGGCTCAGCAAATGTTGCTGGTTTGTCTCGTCTGGAGTAGATAAATTGAGCTGCTGCATTAGGTAAAAAAGAAAGTATTAAAAAAAAGTCAAATCTTTTTTCCTCCTTTAAAAACAAAACATATCTGAAGTGGAAAAAAAGTTAGGATGCTGACCTGTTGCAGTGGTTTCAGGGGGTAGGGAGGATGGGACGCTACTGTATAATGACTACTACCTGAAGATTGTACAGAGCATACAGCAGTTCATGCTAGAATATAAATAAGTCAGCAACATGGTCAAAACACAGGCTGGGCAATATCCTTGTATCCTCGTAATGCAATAATTCTGCAAAGTTCACTATTCAAACAAAGGAATATATTCCAGGTTTGAAAAATAGTATTTTCTATACCAAATTACCATCTATGTCCTCAGAACCTTACTCCAGAATTATTTTTTTTTTTACCTCTGTTACAAGTTAAAAAAAATCATGAAAATAACATTGCTTTTACAATGCAGCACTGTCAAACTACTGATAAGAATTTCATGGAGTTGAACACATTCTTCTCTTCTTTGCATTTCACCAGAAATATAGGAGCCCGTGAGTTAAAACGTATATTCACACTAAATTTTAAACAAGTGCAGAATTGCACTGTGATTTAACAACATATTAAGGCACACATAGATAAAACTTCTTGCTGAACATGAGCCCCAGTCACTACATACTCTCAGAAATACAAACTATAATGTAAACAAATTTCATTCTGTTATGCAATATTCTCCCCAGCTCTGAAATACATACTGAAAGCATATGCATGTATATTCAGAAGTTAAGTAGTACAGCCTTAGCAACTGTGTTCCAAATGCATACCATTTCACATTCACTCACCATAACTGAAGCAGTTATTAAAAGATTGCTATACAACCGAGATCAGCCTATGTAAAAAGAATTCTTAGGAAAATTACTGTGCATAACAAGAATTGGTTTTGTGATCTAGCAGTTTATACTTGATTAAAAAGTAAGTACGTTGCACATTTTCACCACAAAATACAAAGCTACCTTAATTCTTAGAAAAGGTCTGAAAAATTCTAGCAATTAAACTTAGAAATTGAATTTAAGATAATATGAATTTAAATCAGGAAATGTGACTACAAGTAATAAAAATACACACCTATATTCACTTATCTAAAATCAACAGAATGACAGAGGAACAGATTTTTAAAGACCTAATTAACTCAAGTACCTGTGGCCAGAGGTCACAGACTACATCACATTCACAGTGCATTTAGATCCAGCCTAGCTACCTGTAGTAGCAAAGCTTCACATCAACATCAGCCATACTATTTTCAGGGTCTACTCAGCTCTAAAAACACTGCCACCAAATCTGGGTACACCCTGAAATCATAATCTTGACAGAGGTTTGACTAGAGAACACAACCTAATGGTTCTACAGTCAAGCTGAATTCAGCTGGGCTGAGCTGCTCAAATTATCTTACCTGAGCACACAGCATCACTATTTTTATACCTACTTTGCAACATTACAAATGCTGGAAGGCTTATCAGCTCCACGTGATCTTGCATGAGAACAGAAGTCAGCGAGGACCAGTGCTGCCTCTGACAATAAGGCTTCCTACCCCACATTTACTCAAAGTTGCGTAAAAGACATCAACCACCAAATGCAAAATCACGACAGTTAAGCCCAGCTAGATCCTACTAACAATTTTAAAAGATACCAAAAGCTTCAAGACTATCAACACATTCCCATAAACCAGATTTTTACATTATCAAGTACATTCTGACCATCAAGATCATATACTTGTACAACTGAAGATGTGTCCGGCTGTCTAGCGTGACTTCCGGAAGGACAATGCCTAACACTACCTAACTGACTTTAACAGGATTATGGCCACTAGGCACTTTTCAAACATTTCACTAGCTTTTGAATTGTTTTATTCTAGAAATAAATATCAGAGTAGGAATCAATGGACAATGCTTACATGTAATAATTTGAACTAACCTGTTGAAGGAGAAATGCAATAATCATCTTCTACTGATTGGCCATACACATCATCATCTTCAAAATCTATGAAGCAGAAACAGTAAGATTAGTCTGCACAATTTCTAAATACTTACTATTACAATTCAAAGAGTAGTTTTTACACAAGGTTTTAAGAAATTATGGATCTCTAGTATTCCAGAAGTGCATTTAAGTACTGCTAATTTACCTAGGTAAGAAATTAAAAGTTACAATAACAGAATTTTAACATGTAAGACTCTATTCATTAGGAAAGCTGAAAATTTTCAAGAGCTGCCATGCTTCACACCTCCTCCTTCAGCATCTCCTTTAGAAGGCTTCCCTCACAGTACAAATCCAACTTTCTAGAGTTACACAAGTCTTTACCCATTACATTTCTCTTATATTTCTACTTGACCTCTCAGTCTTCACCACTGACAGTTCAATTACGATCTCTACTCCGACAACGCAGGATCACTACTTCTACTCCACGTCTCTACTTCTCAGCTTTCTTCTCCAGTCTATCCTCATGGCCATCTAACTTTAAATTCAAGTTCAGCAAGGCAAAAATACAATTCACAATTCCCTTTGAACATGCAAAGTTGTTTCAGCCAAAAAGCAAGAATCTTATACAGTTACTTAAACACAGACATATACTTTTCCCATTTAAAAAAAAAAAAAAAGGCATTAGGAAAATATCCTTCCCCCCCCAAAAAAACTAGTATTACATAAATCTTGAAAATAAATTTGAAATACATGAAAACAGTAATGAAATAATTTTAAATACGTTATTGTACACACTTGTCAGTTCCACAAAGAACATGTATTGTTTGTTGTTTTAAAAGAGAGGGAAAAAAAAGTAGCTCACAGCTAAAAAAATAAAATCTGCACTCTGATATCAACTTACTGGCCACAGAACTGGGACCTTACAAACCCTGTATTCATCTACAAAAGGCTCAAAATTTGAGGCATGAAAGGTTCATTTCTCTCTCAACAAGGAATAAGAAAATCAAATTTAAACTCAACTCTATAATCCATTGTAATTTAAAAAAAAAACGTCAAACAAAAGCAGTAGCTAAAAGGGCTGGCACAAGCATACGAAAAGTTTAGCGAAAGACCCAGGAAACTACTTTGGAAATTAAGTATCAGAGGATAAATAAAACGTATTACAGGCTTGTTTGGATTGTTCGTCTTGAAAAAAAAACAGTGTATTGTTACCTACTTTTTGACTATGTTGAAAAGAACACGTTGTTTCCTGGTTCCATGCGAGGACCAATTAATCCCTAAAAAGTCTAGAGAAGAACTACACTTTTTTTTCAAGGTAAGAACACTTCCCGTCATTTGGCCAATTCTTGGAGAGTGCCAAGGAAAACTCCAAGATGACTTCTGTGAATAGGTAACATTCACAGTTAGTAGTAAGTGAAATCAAGGTAAGTCATGCCAATGTGCATGACCTGAATCACTTGCATATCCCATACTGGTTTAACTTCTAGACTGAGAAGACACCTACATGAAAATGGCTCAGCTTGCATTGACCATAAAAATAGTTCTTAAAAAATGACAGAAATTACAGAGAACAAAGTAGAGGCCACAGAAGTATTCCACAGTACCAACAGTTCTATCACCAACATACTCTCAGCTAGAATATCACATTCAGTTCTGATCACAATACTTCAAAAAGGAGAGAGCAGAAATAGAACATGGTCAAATAAAGGCCACAAGATCCTAAGGCCTCAAAAGCCTTCCTAGGAAAGGACACAAAAAAATACTGCAAATATTTACTTTAGAAAGGAGACAAATAATTGGGCCAGACAAAGCATTACAGAATCGTTAAGTGGCATAAAAAGCACTTACAGCATTATATTAAATAAAAAAAGACCCAAAAGTGTACCTCGTTTGAGACAGAAATTACTGAATGCAACTAAAAAAGTAGTATACAGTGTACGTATAAAGATCGCACGTACACACACTGCTAATTAAACCTGCTGTGTAATTCAACAGTGATGTTTCAAATAGCAACAGCAACTTAAGCCTCAATATGGCTACACCAAATTACTACATATCTCAGCAACCTCATTAAAAGAGATTCTAATGAGTACAAACACTGAAATGAATTCTACAGACTGGGAACCCAGCTTCACAGATGGCAGAGATCAGTTGAAATCAATTTTTCAACCAAACTGTCATGAAGAAAATCTCTAGAAGATAATGATCAAGCAGTAAAATCCCCTTTTTAACTAAAAAAAGACAGTTTAAGATTTTGCCTGTATTAGGCAAATTTGCAATAGTAAAGTATACATCATATATCACAGCTCACATGTTTACACGACTTCCCCAAAAATTCCAGGATCACAGTGCAAAACCCAATTTGCGCTACTACATAATACATGCACACATTGCATCTGTCCACTCAACAGCAAAAGACCAGAGGCAGGCAGAAGTATTTCTTGCAATTTTTGTATATGATCTGACAAAGTGAGGCAACAAAATAGCTGCTCCCACACCAAAGGGTTCTTTAAGACACCAGTATCAACTGTTTGTCCATTTTGCCACAGCCAAAGCCAAAACAAACAAAACCATTGAGAAAAAAAGAGTGAAATTGACAGTTCGACTAAGTTAATGGGACAGGGCACAAAGTAAGCTGCAGCACCACAGGTACGAGCCCAGTTCTTACACAACAGCTCGTTCATTCCATTGAAGCTTAAAGAAAATATGACCTAAAGGTGTCTGAAAAACAGATTTGTCCATAGATGCTCAGCTCCATCTTTAAGAACCATATCTCTTCTACAAGGAACAGCTGTTGCCTCTTAGTTATTATTATGGCTGAACATCAGCAACAATTTGCTAGTTAGACTGGGAATACAAACTTTTAAGTGCTACAAGACTAAAGAAGGGCGGGTTCAACGGGATTGAGGCTGGTTTTCAAGTCGCTCCCACCCGCCTGAAAAACAGTCAACTTTGGCAGCTTAAGACAACGCAGGTAAACCCTGACACGGCTTCGCCTGTGTGCCAGGGCCGCTCTTTCCCCGTGCGGAAGCTCCCGGTAGCCCCGGCAACAGGAGGTGTCCCTGAAGGGCAACGGCAGCGCGGCCACGT